TGTGTGTGTGTGTGTGTGTGTCGACAATGTTGTCTCTATTGTATATGCTGCCACGTCCCTACATATGACCCTGCAGAGGCAGGGGTGGGGGTAGTGACGAGTTAGTTTCTTAGAGGGGGGGGGGGGGGCATTTTGTGCTTTAGGCCAGTTCAACACTGAAGCGAGCACTTTACCACACAGACATCTTTTGGCAGCTGAAATACATGTAAAAAGCCTCAAAGAGACACACATCCACGCGCCTGTACAGAAAAGATGCGCATCGCAAGCATGTTTGCGGGTGTCCGCAGGCGGCGTCTTGTGACAGCGACGTCGTACGCCGCGGCTGTTCTAGTAGCCTATTTATTAAGCGCGCACTGCCAGGCCTGCTGCCAAGTCTGTATCAACCTCTTCCCAACGATAAGAGAAAAGCATACAAACACATCTGTTGTGCCTACCTTTCCATGGCACAGTCCCTCCCTCCTCCTGCTGCTGTAAAAACTAAGACGACAATATGAGCCCACATTAAAACAACCCCCGAAGCTGCAGCTCATTAAAATCCAAACGGTGTTTTCCAAGCGGTGTCCAGGAGGGTTACTCCTCCTTTAAGCCGAACATGAAGCCAAGGTCGCAACGTGTGGTCCGCGCGATCCACAAGCTGCAAGGGATACATTAGACGAAATCATTCAAATATGGCAGTGACGTGCCAAATTATCCCCAGAATTTTAAAAAAAAAGTGAAAATGAATAAATACCGACAGCAGGAAGTGACAGGTAGGCGCATTCATCTTGATAGCCAGGTGTATTGCCTAATAGTGTCCTTGGCTTCACAGACAGCTCCCGCCTCTAAGAGCAACGGACCAATCAGGGAACGGATCAAAGACAGCGTCCTTAAGACGCAGGTGCATCTATGTTGCCTTCAACAGCAGTATATAAGCTCGTACATTATACTCCTTTTATACCCGATTCAGGGGTTTATAAGAAATACAATCATGGGAGTAATTTGTAGTGTTGTTGGTGGTGATTTTGTGCAAGACATAGTGAACCAGTCTGCACCATACTGAGAGTCATGGAGCCAGCGAGGAAGAGAAGACACTCTAATGTCTAATTATCTTCTCTATTATCTCTCTGGTTGTGTAACCTAAAGAAAGTTTGATAAAGCAGAATGAGAGCAGCTAGGCTCTTTTAAGCCTATAGAATAGAATAGAATTCAACTTTATTGTCATTGCACATGTCACAGGTACAAGGCAACGAAATGCAGTTTGCATCCATCCAGAAGTGCTTTAGCCATAATATAGATATATTACAAAATATATATTAGATTTATTAGAATAATATAGATTTGTAGATATATTACACAAATGGGTCTGTTATAGGTATAAGGGTACAAAATATGGGTCTATTATGGGTATGTTACAATGTACACGGTATGAAGGTATGTTATGAATCTGCTATAACTATAAGTATGTACATGCTGTAGTGGGTGTACAAGCTATGTGCAGGCTATGAACATGATATAAATATGAAAACTATACAGAAATATGAAATATGAAACTATACAGAAATATGAACTGTGCAATTTATAAATTCAATTCAATTCAATTTTATTTATATAGCGCCAAATCACAACAAAAGTCGCCTCAAGACGCTTCATAGATACAGAGAAAAACCCAACAATCATATGACCCCCTATGAGCAAGCACTTTGGCGACAGTGGGAAGGAAAAACTCCCTTTTAACAGGAAGAAACCTCTGGCAGAACCAGGCTCAGGGAGGGGCAGCCATCTGCTGCGACCGGTTGGGGTGAGAGAAGGAAGACAGGATAAAAGACATGCTGTGGAAGAGAGACAGAGGTTAATAACAGATATGATTCAATGCAGAGAGGTCTATTAACACGTAGTGAGTGAGAAAGGTGACTGGAAAGGAAAAACTCAATGCATCATGGGAATCCCCCGGCAGCCTACGTCTATTGCAGCATAATTAAGGGAGGATTCAGGGTCACCTGGTCCAGCCCTAACTAGCAAAAAGGAAAGTTTGAAGCCTAATCTTAAAAGTAGAGATAGTGTCTGTCTCCCGAATCCAAACTGGAAGCTGGTTCCACAGAAGAGGGGCCTGAAAACTGAAGGCTCTGCCTCCCATTCTACTTTTCAATACTATAGGAACAACAAGTAGGCCTGCAGAGCGAGAGCGAAGTGCTCTAATAGGGTGATATGGTACTACAAGGTCATTAAGATATGATGGGGCCTGATTATTTAAGACCTTGTATGTGAGGAGCAGGATTTTGAATTCAATTCTGGATTTAACAGGAAGCCAATGAAGGGAAGACAAAACAGGAGAAATATGCTCTCTCTTTCTAGTACCTGTCAGTACTCTTGCTGCAGCATTTTGGATTAGCTGAAGGCTTTTCAGTGAGTTTTTTGGACATCCTGATAATAATGAATTACAGTAGTCCAGCCTGGAAGTAATAAATGCATGAACTAGTTTTTCAGCGTCACTCTGAGACAGGATATTTCTAATTTTAGAGATGTTGCACAAATGGAAGAACGCAGTCTTACATATTTCTTTAATATGTGCGTTGAAGGACATGTCCTGGTCAAAAATCACTCCAATCACTCCTCACAGCGTTACTGGAGGCCAAGGTAATGCCATCCAGAGTAAGAATCTGGTTAGATACCATATTTCTAAGCTTTACAGGGTCGAGTACAATAACCTCAGTTTTATCTGAATTAAGAAGTAAAAAGTTAGCGGCCATCCAGATTTTTATGTCTTTAAGACATTCCTGCAGTTTAACTAATTGGTGTGTGTTATCTGGCTTCATGGACAGATAGAGCTGGGTGTCATCTGCATAGCAGTGAAAATGTATGCTATGTCTTCTAATGATGCTGCCTAAAGGAAGCATGTATAATGTAAACAGAATTGGTCCTAGCACTGAACCCTGTGGAACTCCATAATTAACCTCAGTGTGTGAAGAGGACTCTCCATTTACATGCACAAATTGGAGTGTATTAGATAGATATGATACAAACCACTGCAGTATAAACAGTTGTAAACAGTTGTAGAATTATAATTATCGTATTGTACAGAATGATTGTCTATACAGCATATACAGTAGTGCAGTTAAGATAAGTGAAATATGTGGATAATTTCTACAGAGGCTATATAAAGTGCTAGTGGTTGTGAGTGGTGGTTTAGTCCATGTTATTATTGTGTGTATGAGGGTACAGTTGTCCATTTGTTTGTTTTTGTTTTTGTCCATTGTGGTGTATGTGGTATGTGCTGTTCTTCTAAAAATGATAAATGTAAACTACATAGTAGATGCACTGGTCCTTATATAGCACTTCTTCTATTTAACATGACAATTCAAAAGATTTAATACAATACGCTTCATTCATCCAATGGATGCAAGTTGGGGTTAGTATCTTGTCCAAGACAATTTGGCATACAGACTGAAGCAGCCAGGGATCAAACCACCAAACTTTCAATTAGTAGAGGACCTGCTGTACATGCTGAGGTACAGCTACCCCTGTGCCTCAGAAGGCCAGTATTAAGCCACTGGGTGTCACCTCTGTCATTGCGCCCCAGGGTGGCTGTGGCTACATGTAGCTTGCCATCACCAGTGTGTGAATGTGTGCATGAATGGGTGGATGACTGAATGTGTAAAGCGCTTTGGGGTCCTTAGGGACTAGTAAAGCGCTATACAAATACAGGCCATTTACCATTTACCACTTTGTGTATATGACCTGTTAGTTATATTCTAGTTAGTTATATACAAATGGAGATTGGGATGTCTTCAAGTGACTGAACATTAGCTTCATAGATGTGTGTTAAGTGAATCTTTCAGTTTCTAGTTTTATGATGTTATTGCATCATGCTCATACAGTTTATGTATGCGATTTGTTAACCAAGCTTGCAAGTGTTAGCTGATAAGTTCAACTTTGGTCAAAATAGGGTTTTGGACATGAAATGGGAGTAACTTCAGAAGTGAAAAGTAGTCCAAAACCAATTAAATTCTGATTACCTGTTGATCAAGAATGGTCAATATTTAGAAACTCTTTTCTAATAACTCTTTCTTTCTGTCTGCTTTGCTTTTGTTGCAAATCCATCACCTCTCTACAGTTTTTGATTTATTTGTATGCTCTTTACACCTGTGTTTTGTCCCTCCTCTCTTACTTAGGGTGTGTCCTGTGCTTGGAGTGCACTGTCATACATTAAGTATCCCACATTCTTTAGTGACTCACAGGTACTGCAGGTTAGACAACACGACTAGCTATTTCAGCAGCCTGTAATATAATAGTTGCCATTTACTGGGCCTGCTGAGAAGTTGTATTTTTACTTTTGTGCATGAAGGCTGGATACTGTGCGGTACTTAACTAAAGGTAACTTGTAGTGCAAAGGCACAGTGCTACATGGAAACCATAGAAAGCATTGCGGCAAATACTGCTCTTGTTAGAGCCAGAGAAGGTAAGAACTTTCTTTATCCAGAAAGTTTATGTGAGAAGATGACATGCTAAAATGCTGACAATTTTTGACTTATGTCTCAATTTGGGACATGACCTCCATCAGAAGTAGTGCTTATATGGGTTATCTCAGGACAATGATTTTTCAGTCACAGTGTGGAAGAGTGATGTATGATAAACCTGATCAATGATGAGTTTTAAGTCTGTTTTTTTTTACTCACCAGTTCAGTTTAGGATAAATCAGTTTATCAATTTTAGCATTTCTGAATAAAGTGAAATTCTCTCTGAAGGCAACATAAATTTATTTGCTGTTACTTGAGACATGAAATAAATTTGGAGTGTGGAAATTGAGACGCAAACTATGAGTGATAGTGTGTAAAGTACGTTGCAGAGTAATGTGGTTCCACAGGCTTTGTTTAATTTGTTCCTGGAGCTATTTATAGTTCACTCACTGTAGTCGAACAAGCTATTGTCTGAAACCTGAAGGACTAGGCATGCTGATTGACATCTCAGTCTGAGTTATTCAATATGTCAGCACTTTGGTTATAGGCATGTATGCATATTCACAACACTAAAGAACTCCTTTTCTGTGTCCCCACTGTCTGTAGGTGGAGGAAGGAGCTGGAAATGGAAAGAAATGCTTCGCTTTCCCCACATTAGCCAGTGCAAAGACCTGGCCATGAACATAGGTGTGTATCTGCAAGTTTCACACTATGTTTCAATAGTGTGAACAAGTTCTGGTTCTTTGTGAGATTTCACACCATATATTTTATTTTATATTTCTCCATTAGAACGAGACTACTATAGTCTATGTGTGAAGCAGCCTATTGGCAAGAAACTGTTTCAGCTCTTCTGTCGGAGTCAGCCTGATCTGCAGAACTACATTTCCCTCCAAGATGCTTTGGTACAAACTGTGAAAAATTCTTTTACTGGAATTTGAGTCCTTAAAAATATTGAAAATAATGGCACTTAAATATCAGTAATTATTTCAGAAGCTAGAGTTGCATTGCTCTTGTGTGTTTTAAGTAATGACATTGCAGTGCAGTGCGCTTTTTAAGAATATTAAACGGGAGATAAGAGATTAAGAGCAAAACAAATGTGAAACTAACATGAAGAACATTAGAAAACTGAGAACTGAAAATATACTTGAAGAATTACACCATAAAACATATAATATAACATCAAAATAATCTATAGCATGTTGGAATTTCCATCTGTTATTTTTTTCTTTCTTTCTTGATTACTGATGGATAATGATGCATGAGACACCGCGGCATTATTAAATGATAAGAAAAAAAACATCAGCCAAATTTAACTCTGGTATATTCATATTGAGTAAAAAAGAAATTTTGGACTTCAGTGCACAAGAGGGTGACTCTTGTAGATACAACAGCTCATATAACCTTGTATCCTGTGCAGAAACAAAGTGTTACTGGACAGTTAGTATCTAATGAGCCTGACCCTCAAAACACTCAAAGCACCAGCATTAAGCGGCAGCTGATTGCCTTATCAAGTGGCTAACCACTGCAACACTGGCAGATGTTTCAAAACAAACAAACAAACAAAAAAACCCTAATATTTTTACCGTTACTTCAACTGGCAAGTAATCACATCCAGGGTACAGTAGGTAGTCTCAAAGGCAATATTAAACCTGAGAAATTAGATGAGAAGTGTGCTTCTCTAAAACATTTTAACCGCCTGAGTTTACACAACATTTTGTAAACAATAAATTATTCATTGACACAAGATCTTTTTAAGTTTATTGCACGACTTACAGATTGTTAATGAACTAAATCATTTAATTTACTGGTGATTTGCTTCATGTGTGAGCATCTGTATGTCTGATCACTTTTTTGCAGTAAATAGCTCAAATTACTTCAGAAAAACTGACATCAGACCTTCTGTCTGATACTAGATTTTACTGTCTAAACCCTTTGAAGAACTAACCTGTACATATAGACTCTGCATCTACATATGCAAATCTTAATACCTATTTTCTTCTTTAGGACAACTTTGACATTCAGTCAGATGACAAAAGGAAAGAGTCTGGGAACAGGATCATCCAGAGATTCCTCATGAAGCAGGTGTGAAAACATTTGTAGAAAACATGGTTGATAGTTTACAACCGTGGATATTTTTCTTTCATTATTTTCTCTTCTGAAGTTTGAAACAAGAATTCTTATATCATGCTACACATCACTTTATCCAAGTGTATCATGTTCCCTCAGTCCAGTGAGTGTGTGTCCATCCTACTGAGGCATGAAAGAAGCTGCAATCAGAGTCTGGAGCTCAATCCCTGTGGTGATGTCTTTCATGGCTGCAGGGAGTAAGTTATATCTCTCTGGTCTGCTTATAGATGGTCATGTTAAAACAAGTTTGTAGGGAACTCAATGCAGTCTAGAATACTTTGGTATACACAGAAATTCATAGTCGACTCAATGACTGCAAAGTGCCCAGGTCCTGTGGTTGCATTGGTGAAGAAGGTTATTTTCACCAATCTGGCATTATACATTGTGGCCAAATGTATCCAGTTTGGTTTTGTCTGTCCAAAGGACATTGTTCCAGAAGGTTTAGGGGTTTCAGATTTATCTTCAGCTATGCCATATTTTACTTAGAGAGAAGCAAGTTTCTCCTGGGAAGCAACACTTATTAGATCTTTTTCTAATTGTACTGTTGTAAATCTTTAACATTTAGCATGCTAACAGAGGCCTATAGAGTCTGAGATGTATTTTTTGTGTGTTTTGTAATTTCTTTGAGTATTGCACAGTCAGATTTTGGTGTGAATTTTCTGGGACATCCATGCCCAAATCTTCCTCAAATCAAACACATCTGAATGCATCTAACCATAACACTGCACTATACTGACTGTATATAATTTTAACTACTGGCTTAACTGGAGTTTTGCTGGCCTGATGTGATGACTATTTTTCTAATTTTGCTAAATTACTGGGATATACACAGTAATATATACAGTATGTCCAGAAGCCAATAGAAGAACTGCTTTTCAGAATCAGTTCTCTAAAGTGTGGCGCATGCTGTTGAAAACTGTTGACCAATGGAGCAGATGGAGTTCATCTTTCTTTTGTGGATTAGAGACCTACATAAATACCTCAGCAACGAGCCCTTCACCCAGTACCAGGACAGCATGTTCTTTGCCCGCTTTCTACAATGGAAACAGTTGGAGAGGTCAGTAAATGTGTATGCCCAACAAAGGTATGAGACGAATTGTTTCATGGATCAGTGGTTAGCCAAGTAGCTGCTGTTTACAGTTCTTCTTAAAAATGTATTTACAAAAATATTTCAAATGAAAACAACATGTCTGTCTCTTTCAAGGCAGCCTATCATGAAGCAAACATTTCGACAGTACAGACTACTGGGGAAAGGAGGGTTTGGAGCGGTATGTATGTTTTGGGATTTACTCTAAGACACAGTGTTAGCATATCAGACACTTTATGGTATATGTTTTTGAGGTATGTCTTTACCCACGGTGTATCAAAATGAAGGTAGTTTTTTTATTTTTTACTTTACATACATATTCCCTTGGGGGAATTCATGGACTTAGACCTTCACAACACAGTTCTACATCTCTGTTACTCTTTAGTTCCCTTACATATATTAGTATACTTTCACTTTGCAGCAACCTATTCTTTTTTGACATATTGAACAGCTCTGATACTGGCAACAGCATTAGATACAAATTTATCACAAGGGTGTTATTGTCTTACAATCCTGTTATTCTGTCTTGAGGTGTGGGCCTGTCAGGTGAGAGCCACAGGCAAGATGTATGCCTGCAAAAAGCTGGAAAAAACCCATGTAAAGAAGAGGAAAAGAGAGGACATGGCTCTCAATGAGAAAGAGATACTACAGGAACTGGACAGTCGCTTTGTGGTGAGACTGCTGTGCTCTTCAAATATTTGCATCATTTTTTAATTTGTCAATTTTTTTTACATTTTCAAACTAGTTTTTGTTCATTGTGATGGTTTTCACATTGCTTTGTTCATTTTTTTTTTTAAATCAGTATGTTTGTTAACCAGTGTTATCTGTGTAAGCAAAGTTGGGTTATTCTTAAAAAGCAAATCCATGACCTGCACTGTTACAATGGTTGATATTTCTTTCTTCTTTAAAATAAACATATACACTGTTATTGAGTTACACTGTGACTACAATTCAATTCAATTCAATTCAATTCTATTCTATTCTATTCTATTCTATTCTATTCTATTCTATTCTATTCTATTCTATTTTATTTATACAGCACCAAATCACAACAGCAGTTGCCTCAAGGCACTTTAATATTGTAAGGTAGACCCCACAATGATAGATACACAGAAAAAACCAACAATCATATGGCCCCCTATGAGCAAGCACTTTGGCGACACTGGGAAGGAAAAACTCGCTTTTAACAGCAAGAAGCCTCCAGCAGGCACAGGGAGGGGCGGCCATCTGCCGCGACTGGTTGGGGGGAGAGAGAGAAGACGGTAAATGGTAAATGGCCTGTATTTGTATAGCACTTTACTAGTCCCTAAGGACCCCAAAGCGCTTTACACATCCAGTCACCCACCCATTCACACACACATTCACACACTGTTGATTTGCCATCAACAGTGTGTTGATGGCACCCACCCTGGGGTGCCATCAACCCTACACCCACCCTGGGGTGCACTGATAGAGGCGAGGCTGCCGGGCCACCGGGCGCCACCGGGCCCTCTGGCGCCACCGGGCCCTCTGACCACCACCAGTAGGTGGGCAAAGGGTCAGGTGTCTTGCCCAAGGACACAACGATCGAGACTGTCGGAGCCGGGGCTCAAACCGGCAACCTTCCGATTACAAGGTGATCTCCCAACTCTTGAGCCACGATCGCCCCAGACGGGATAAAAGACATGCTGTGGAAGAGAGACAGAGATTAATAAAGCTTAAGCTCACACCGAACTAGACATTAATAAGCAATTCAAAATAGTCTTTATAATTCCATCATAACTGACACTTGTTAAAAACTCCAGCTGCCAAATGTTTGAACAAATCATTTAACAAAAATTATCTTTACTGAATGTTTATACAAGGTATTTTTACAGTGAAGAGAAGTTCATCCTGTGACACCGATAGGAAACCTGTATAGGGTATACCCCATCTTTCACCTTATCACAGTTGGGATAGGGATAATGGACATGAACTCTTCTCTATGTTTTATAAAAGACACAGAAGAAGTGGCTGTGACTCAGGAGGTAGAGCAGGTCAATCATTAACTGGAAGGTTGGTCGCTCCTGTCTGCATACTCACCTATCCTTGAGTGCTCAAGTTAGGCAGAAAAGTACTTAATAAGAACCAGTCGATCTACTATTTATATATGCTTAATTAGAGACTCATCACATCATTCAACAGGTTTTATACATGTTCTGACACACATCCATCCATCAATTTTCTTCCATCCATCCATCCTCTTCTGCTTTTATCCACTACATCGAGGCTGTAGCCTATCGCATCCATCACAGGATGAGAGGCTGGACTAACAGGGCTAACATTGAGGCAGACAACTATTCAGACTCATCATCATCTTTGAGCTGTGGAAGGAAGTCTGAGAACTCTAAGAGAACTCATGCAGATGAAGAGAGAACATGCAAACTATACACAGAAAGGCCTCGGACTGGATTCAAACCAAGGACTTTCTTGGTGCCACTATACCTCGTCTCAGCAATATAGCTGAGTATAAAATAATCAGGGAGAGAACAAGTTCAAAAGCAACCTCGGTCAGACAGAATTCTGTTTATACTGATCTACTGATTCAGATGAATTTCGTGATCAAATAGTCTTATTTTTCTTAAGAATGATGTCCAGTTTTTATAATCAGTGAGCACAACTCCATTTTTCTAAAATGTGTATTTGCAGTTTCTTTTAACCTCCTAAGACCGGAACTCTTCCATGACATGCATTTTTAATTTCTCTTTGATATTTGGGCTGATTGGGACCCAATTAATGTAAAAACAAAGAATTACCAGATTTTTTTTTTTACCTGATTTTTGTTTCTAAGAAAAATGAGAGCCACATATGAGGATATTTATTTAACATTTTGATAGCACAGTAGCAGTATAATGTCCTCGTAAGTGGATATAGAGCAAAATTGAGCATTTTGGTCTAAATAACCCAAAATGTGATGTCCACATATGTGGATGCCAGGTCCTAGGAGGTTAAGGATAATGTTTAATCCTTATGATTGGCTTTCTTTCATAGCGAGTGGTGTTCTGCACTGAATTATACTGAATTGTTTCAAGTATTTTGTAAAAGCTGAATTTATAGTATTGCTGATGCCTTAGTGAGTTTTGTTTTCTTATTTTTTTTTTTTTTTTATTGTTCAGGTGAATCTGGCATATGCTTATGAGACCAAGCACAATCTCTGTATGGTTTTGACCATGATGAACGGCGGTGACCTAGGGTTTCACATACATCGCATGGGGTCACCTGGTCTGACCAAAGACAGGGTACGTTTCTACGCTGCAGAAGTCTGCTGTGGTTTAATTCACCTCCACCAGAAGTCGATATTATACAGGTAAGTGTATTTCTACATGCATTAAATCACATCTCTACTAGTCGGGAAGAAGTTTTTAAATGCTGTGTTTCTTCTAGAGATTTGAAGCCAGAGAACATTCTCTTGGATGACAATGGTATGCGCAACTACAAAACAGTGTTTTTTTAATCATTCATGTACAATAAATAGCCTCAAATGTACTACAGTAACATCCAAGCAGATAGCATCCCAACATCCACACATAGCAAAAGCTGGCAGTTACTTTCTTGCTATTTTTAACTCTGAAAATAATCTGACTGTTTGAAATGCCACACATTTGGTCATGCAGCCTATCAGAAGCATCCACCTGCTCTCAAGAAAAATCTGTGTTGATTGTATTTTGACAGGGGTAAAAAAAGAAAAGAAAAAGAAAAGTAGTTTGAGGAAGTAAAAAAAACCTGTTATCTATTTATAGAAACTTCCACACCTGTTCCTTCATTCTTGGAATAAAAGCAACAGTTGTAGTTTCCCATTGTGTCAGCTGGAGAAAAGTGAAGCCTAACTTGACAGGGCAAAAGTGAAAGTATGTGAGAAAAATAATCACAACAATCATGCCAATTCAGTTAATCGTACTTTTTTTGTTCCATTAAGGACACATCCGCATCTCTGACCTGGGTTTGGCTGTGAAGATGTCTGAGGGGAGTCTAGTACGAGGCAGGGTGGGCACACTGGGCTATATGGGTATGTATGGAACTTCTACAGACCCACATAAATCACTAGATTATATGAGTGTGTTGGAAAACAAAGCAATTTATTTTTATGATTGTATGACTTTTATCCATACCTCTCAGTGGTGCTTACTGGCCTGCACACAGATGGATGGACTGCTTAAGTACTTACATAGAGTTTATCTATGTAAGTTTATCCATCACAAAGTCACTAATTGAAATTTAAGTTTATGATGCAGTTTGCATTGTGCTGGGAGTTGGTGATTTGTAGACCTGATTGTTTGTTTTAACACATCAGAAAAACAACAGAAACAAAAAATCAAACAACTGTCAATAAAATCAAAGCAAAGCAAATGGTGATTTTGCTATTTTCTAAGGAACTTTGAAAGAAAGGAATTGGAATTCTTTAAGTTTCTTGAAGATGTTTCACCTCTCATCCAGAAAACGTCTTCAGTTCTAAAACCAAATGAGTCCCAGGTATCTAAATCCTTGTGGGGCTTGTCACTAAAAGGGTTGTTGACCCACTATTAATGAGCCAAGGTGAGAAAAAGGCATGGATCATGACCAGCAGAGGTTTTGAGAGAAACTAATGTGATACCTTGGCTCACCCTATTAACCTGAGGTCAACAGAAACCTGAGGCACCTGGGAATAGATCTTAAAATTGCATTGTATGTGACTGACAGTTGGTGTCACAAGCCACCCCCTCTATTCAGTGATGGTCATTCACAGTGAAAATAGATGGCATCTTTTACTCCTCTTTCAAACAATCTGTCTTCTCAGTTCAGAATATGAAAATTGGCATCCTCAAAAGATTGACCTTTAACCTTTAGGTGCAGAGCTTTAGCTGGTCTTGTCCTGCTATGTTGTGCCATGCATAGATAGGATGGCTGTTTGGTGTCTCCAATGTAGAATCTCTGAATTCTTGTATTGTAATAGTTTAAAACTTTCGAATTACCTGATGCTGTCAACTGGATGGGAAGAAAGAACCTATTATGACTTTATGTCTACAGTGCTTTCAGAAAATGTTCACAGTGGTTCACTTGTTCCACATTTGTTATGTTACAGCCTATTTCCAAAACTGATTAAATTCATTTGTTTCACCTCTACACAGAATACCACATATTGACAAAGTGAAAAAATTAGCTTGAAATTTTTTTTTAGCAATTTTATTAAAAAAACAAAACAAAACTGTAACTTAACTACCCACAGACTTTGCCATAAGACTCCAAAGTGAGTTGAATCCTGGTGCACTGGTCAGATGTTTCTATGACTTGATTGGACTCCACCTGTGGTAAAGTTACTGGGACATGAAGCCATGATGTCCAAGGAATTGTCTGTAGACCTCAGAGACTGGATTTTATTGAGGCACAGATCTGGTGAAAGGTACAGAAAGATTTCAGCAGTATTTAAGTTCCCAATGAGCACAACAGTCTCCATCATACGTAAAAGGAAGAACTGTGGAAGCACTCCAGCCAATCTGATCTAAATCGGGGTAGAAGAGTCTTAGTCAGTGAACTGACCAAGAAGCCAATGTTCACTCTGGCAGAGCTCCAGCATTGCACTGTGGAAAGAGGAGAACCTCCCAAAAGGATAATCATTTCTGCAGAACTCTACCAGTCAGGTCTGTATGGTAGAGTGGCCAGTTGGAAGCCAATTGTCATTAAAAGGCACATGACAGCCTGGAGTTTTGTAAAAAGGAACATGAAGTACTTTCAGACAATGAGAAATAAAACTCTGGTCTGATGAAACAAAGATTGAAATCCTTAAAGTGTCATGTTTGGAGAAAACTAGGCAGCAATGATCCCCTGATGAATGCAATTGCTACAGGGAAACATGGTGGTGGCAGCATCATTGTCTGGGGTTGTTTTTCAGGAGCAGGAACTACGAGACTAGTCAGGGTTTGGTTTTTAATAATTTTCACGACATGGAAATATAGACTTATAGAGTACACAAGAATATTGCCTTGGCAATAAGTAACAGCAGCAAAGCATAAAAAGATTATTCGTTTGCATTCCCATTTCAGCTCCTGAGGTGATCGGCTATGAGCGTTATGGAATGAGTGTGGACTGGTGGGGCCTCGGGTGTCTGATTTATGAAATGACTGCAGGTCGGCCCCCTTTCAGGGCCAAAGGAGAACAGCCTAAATCCTCAGAAATGGAGAGAAGGATTCAGAATGAACATGAAGAATATGGCAACCAGTTCAGCAAGGAGACAAAAGACATCTGCTCCTCAGTGAGTTCTTCAAAATGAAACTTTTTATTTCAGCATGCACAGAAGATGTTCTTTCATCCACATCATACCTTTATCCCCTGATGTATGTCAGATTGTTAAGACAGTACAACAATTTCCAAAAGCCAAGTCATATTCTAATAGGATAGGTTCAGGGTTGCTTACACCTTAGAGATTTACTACGCATACATGTGCTTTTCAGCCTAAATCCTAACCCCAATTTCGGAAGAGGCTGTATTACATCCTTCAAGCAATGAGAACACCTTTCTTTCCACTATTGTAGCTGCTGACCAAGGACCCCACAAAGAGGCTGGGCTCCCAGAAGTCTGGGGGAAAAGATGTAAAATTTCATCCTTTCTTCCAAGAGATCAACTTTCGGATGCTGGAGGCAGGACGCGTTGACCCTCCATTTAAACCTGATGTAAATACCCAAATGAGATATCTATATCTATAGATTGATAGAGACAGATATCTAGATGTGTGTGTGTGTGTGTGTGTGTGTGTGTGTGTGTGTGTGTGTGTGTGTGTGTGTGTGTGTGTGTGTGTGTGTGTGTGTGAATTTGAATTTTGAATATGTATACATACATACATACAGGATTACATTTATGTATTTAAATTGGATTCCATTTAGCTGGATGTAGTGTTTTCGATGTAAGAAATATCTTGTCAAGTGACTTTGGTTTTTAAAGAGTATGTAAAGTACTTAAATAAAAACTGATCAAATGTAGAAGAAGAAGATTTTAACAGCCATTTAAATTTGTACTCACTGCATGTGGTCTTTTATTTTTAGCCCAGTCAGGTGTACTGCACTGATGTACAGGACATAGAAGAATTTTCTACAGTGAAAGGAGTCCATTTTGACCAGACTGACAGCTTCTTCTACTCCCAGTTCAACACAGGAAGCAATTCCATAATTTGGCAAAATGAGGCAAGTTCTAGGTTACATTACCAGGGTTAATCCAGACAAGAGCTTCAAACCTCACCTTCCTTCTCTGTCTTCCATGTAGCTAATAGAAACGGGATGTTTTGAAGAACTGAATGTTTTTGGCCCTAAGGGATCTGCATCTCCAGATCTCGACTGGTCCCAGGCCCCAGAGAGCCCCAAACGCAGCCTGCTGCGCCGAATCTTTCGTAAAAACGTAAGGACATAAAATACATTCTGTCAAAATGTGTGCCCTTTGTGGAAAGCTGAAGATATCTTTCCTCTTTTCACTCAAACAGCATCATTCAGATTCTGATGGAAGCAGAGAGAACCTGTTGTCCAGTGAGGGCTACAGCTCATCAGGAATACATAACTCTGCCCTGAATCCCAGGAAAGTCTACAACAAAGACACCAAAAAACAACAAGCCATTGTAGCAAAGGGTTCTTCCCTTTAAATCGCAGCACAGCAGGCATTTATTTTGTGTTTTCACTGTCTTCCTTACACCTAATCTGTATTAGCATTTTCTGCTTCTCTCAGGTAAGACAAATGAATAATTTTACACCATCCCAACTTTTTAAAAAGTACTTGAATTTTTAAACAAGTGTACTAGTATATATAGTATATAGTACTAGTATTTTTTTTTAACAATTCCAATATAATAAATGTCATCTGAATAATAAATTATGTGGAATTATCTGGATTAAATGGGTCACCTGGACGTCCAGACGTGTTCAGACCTTTTGGGATTTCTTTACCTGGATGGAGCATGCATCAAGACATTAACTTCTAATAATTTTTAAATTAAAAAAGCAAGCTTGAACCAGATATTTGACATAAACATAAAAACTCAAAGCCAAGTCAGCAGTTAAGCAAGGTTCCTGGTAAAAGTAAAGAGGCAAGGGGGACCTAGTGTTATCTCAGGTATCTTTCAGGGACACAAATGAAGATTTAGGTTGGGGAAAATTGTCAGCCATCCAACTTTTAATAGAGTCTAAGCATCTATTTGGATGCCTTTAGAAAAATCTTGGAGCTTAAAAGAGATATTTAATTAGATGTCATGTTCAGCACAATTTCAGCACCTTTAAGGGCATGCCTTATCTCTGCTAAGAAGAGGGGAAGATATAACAGAAACAATAAAGGCTCCAAAATAGAAAGGCCAACTAACTAGGTAGCACTTTTCACAGAGTAATGCCCAACGTATCCAAGCACGGACGTGTGAGAAAAACTCCTCCGCAGGGGAAATGGTCTGAGCATAGTTAACCAGAAACGCTTGCTTGCTAACCAGGCCTCGCTTCCACAACAGGCAATGGATTGGCAATGGATTATGGACACACAACCAGGCGAGTTACTGGTTGCATGAAGCAGCAGGGGAACTGTAGCTAAACTGAGCAGCACCCAGAGCTTGGAGAACCAATCTGAGCAAAGAATGAATGACATCTGTGGGAGCGCAGCAAAATCAAATGGGTTTTAGGCCTGAAGAGTAGAGGTGGTGAAAGCTGCACACTGAAACAGAGCAGTGTGGCCAGTGAATGAGAAAGAGGCTGTAGGCGACTGTGGACAACTTTAACTTTTTTTGCTTTTACAATAATTTTAAAAATGTTTATTTTGATGTGGCCAGTTTTAAAATGCAGGCAGTGACTTTTGATAAAGTACATTTGTAACTTTTCCACAAAGCTCTTCTTTTACAATAAATAAATTGTTCAGATGATAGGTATTATACTGGCTTTTTGTACCCTGTGTGTTAATAGGTTCTAAAATATATTTCACCTTCACTCTCTGTAATGCAATATTTTTTTTTTTTGTAAAACTTTATAAAAGCTATAAATTTAATCTTAAATCTGACTTCTAATTTGGGAAAAATACCCTTTTCAAGATCTTCCCAGTGGTATTGAACATTTTCCTTGGTAGTGGGCGACTGATGGTATTCATTACAGCTCATTCAGACACAGTATAGGAGAGAAACTGTGTATAAAATTAGTCTTTCTACATCATAGATACAAATAATTTCAAAGTTCACCAGTAAAGCAGCTCCTTAGAAAAAGGCTAGGTGAACCAAAAAGACCATTCAACAAAAAACAGATTTAATTAATCAGATCAACTTGGATGTGGGATTTTTTAATTAAATTTAACCCAGCGTAAAAAAAACACAAACAAATAAAATTCACCCAAAAGAGACAATAACAAAGACTTTCATTTAGACAATAAGTGAAATGGTGAATTGGCTCTGTTTGGCTGCAACAACACACACAACTTCATGGTGCCAAAAATGTTTTGAACTAAAACCTTTCTAAAGCATAACAACTTTAAATTATACACATTTGAAACCGGAGCACCATAAGTAAACTAATTCAGAAAAGCCTGATATGGAACTTCGCCCTATGGTAACAATGATATGCAGCCCACAGTTCGGTGTCATTTTAAATGTTTTATGTCTAGGAAGAATTCATTCAGCCCATACTGCTGACGATATTTTAATATTGCAAGAGCTGAAATGCTGCTTATTTGACCTACAGTTTACTGCAGGCATGAAGTGTTTTCATTTTGGCTATCTAAAGGTTGAACAACGTTTTTGACTCAGGGGTGTGTGTATAGTCAGTTCAATGTTTTCATCCCTCCCATGGAGGACTACGTCGTCCATCCACATCAGTCTCCACATGGTACAGCATGTCAGCCAGAGTGTGTTCGATCACAGCTCCCCAGCCCATGTCACTCATCTGAAAGTAATCAAACAATGACTCAGAGGAAGTTTCAAGATCATTTGGAGAAAGTTGGGAATCTTAAAAGGTATGAAGCTCTCACCGGCTGGTACTTAACATCCTTTGGAGGGTATTTGAAGTGGGGTCCAAAATTGACAGAAACCTGAAGAGGTAAGGGTATACTTAAAAAAACACAAACCCCTTTCCAACCTTAAAATCAAATAAATCATCAAATGTGCATGTGTACTCACTGTGCAGCTCTTGTATAGTGAGATGGCAGGGAAGTAGATGCCCTCAAACAGGTTTTCAAAGGCAACACCTTGGTTCACTCCATTTTTGTAGAAAATCATCTGAAAAACAAGAGCTGGGCCAATAAGAGGTAGGTAGTGGAAAATGACAGTAGGTTTTCTCCTCTGGAATTAATTTTGAAAAAATGTTCTAACCCTGCTGGGACTCATTGGTTTGAGGCTTTTCTCTGCTTTGTCCACATAGTCCTTCTCCTCAAAGTACAGGTAACTCTTAAACTTAATTAGTGCCTGAAAAGAGAAACTGGTTTTAGATCCAACTAGTCCAAGAAAGACATGAAAACATAATGAGGAAAAATAATATATATTTATATTATTTTATTTATTTATTTCTTTTTATTTACTCCAGCCTAGTAATAATACTGTTAATTTGTGTTATTTCTACAACACAAATTCTGGCTCAGAGGAACACATCTATCATTCCAACAGTTGCTGTTCCTTTAAAAATACTGGCAGTGGTATCCAGTGGTATAAATCTGATTGGCATTTATCTCTCTTGTATAAGTAACATGGGAGGTGGACAAATGAAACACAGCCAAGCTCTTGGGACCATTTTGATACAACTGCATGTGACAGAAATGCAATGCTGAACACAAGAAGAAATCAGAAGTGCAGCTGATGTAGCTGCGGTTACCTTGTCCTTGTATGTATCAGGCAGAGCCTTCGCTGTCTCTGTGTCTTCAGGCAGCTCTATGAAGAAGCCCAGTGTGTCTCCCTGACTGTAGCCTGAGGAATAATGTTTTCCTATTGACTGGTGAAACCGCGTCCCTTTTTTACTGCGCCAAGAGTAGCTGAACTTGTCATAACCCAGAGGCGCCTGCAGGTTACCTAAGTTATAAATAAGATCCAACATGTTAGATATTGTGGTATTAACATTTTGTCAAAGCAGCTGAGTATCTAACTCTATATTAGGGCTGCCAGATTATGCCAAAGAATGATATCCACTATCCACTCTGGTAAAGAGTGACAACACAATTTATTATTTAAATTGAAGGGAATACATATTAACTGAAACATGAGTAAGGACAAACAAACCTTAAAGCTGAAAGGAAAAAGAGGACCTGTTCTGATGTATATATCAATACATAATAATGGCAGATACTCATTAAAGAAAAATTTTGAGGTTTGTGAATTTCTTAGCCTCCCATCTAGTTAGGAGCCACAGAGGTGGCTGAATGCTGTCCCCGAAGTCACTACATAAGACGCAGTATACACTAGGGCTGGGTCATATCATACAGTTCATGGTAATACTGGTATAATGTTGGGCAACGATAAGAAAATGAAATATCGTGATAGAATATGGGTAAAACTTGCATGTGCAGTGCCTTTGTTTTCATAGGCACATGGCAGAAAAAGCATGGCGGACGAAAGCGGATCGTTGAATGAAACGGATGAACCAGAATTGGTTTGTAAAAATGTTGCAACTTCAGTGTGGAACTGGTTTAGCTTTCGTCCATCAGATACACAACAAAGTACTATTTTTGGTAGAGCATGCTAGCGGGCCGTCGTTATTACCGTGTTTTTTGGAAAATACGGCACACTTAAAATCAATCCTTTGATTTTTCTGAAAATCGACGGTGCCCCTTATAATCCCGTGTGCTTTATGTATGAATTCTGGGTGTGTTTACTGACCTGGAAACGATTTTATGTACACACTTTTATATAACTTTAATGCACATAAAAACAAAAACAGGTGCTAATGATCAACTGACCACTTTTTTTTCTATGCTTAAGTGCTTTCTATCCAACAGTCACACGCCGATGGAAACAATGGAGAGCAATTTGGGGTTAGTATCTTAATATCCCTGCCAGTCTTGTGACCTACTCTACCTCCTGAGCCAAAGCCAACATTAAATGTACATGTTGTGCATTTTGAACATGTTAATGTATATACAACTAATCTTTATTGTCCAAAAACTGAAAATTGCTCTGTAGTAAAAGCGCTATACAAATACAGGCCATTTACCATTAGATCGGCAGTAACAGCAGGTAGCCCCAATATAATTGCTATCTCAGGAGCACAGCTTTGAGAGC